GTTAACATGTAGCATGGAGGGTGTATATATGGAAAAGCTGTGAAAATTATTTACAAACTAAAGGTCTGAAATGGGTGCTTAGGGTTTTTTGTTTTTTTGAAATTGCTGGCTTGTAATACTTAGAAAATTATATGGGCTCTGCTGTTCATGATCTCTTGTTTGTTGGAGTCTTTATCTTTAGTCTTATCTGCTGTTTCTTAGTAGGATTTTAATGAAAAAACCTTTTAATATATTATGAAACTCTGATCATTTCAGTTATTTTAAACAGTCACTAGACCTACGATGATTAGAAATAGTAAAGTAGAAATTGAATGTAGTTACTATGGTGTAATATAGTAGAAGCTGACAGTGAACTACGTGCTTTGTTCATCTACAGTGCTGTGAAATCAGAGGGAATTGGTCACTGTTATCAGTTATCAGTGCTTAACATTACTGTGCTCTCTGATCATACATCAGAAAATATTTGTTTTCTAATGAATATGCAGGGCTGTTTCTATAGGATGCGTGCTGGTTTCTTTATCTTTTCACAAGTAAGAAACTAAATTGCAACATTGACTTTCTAGAACCACAACAGTTATACTCAATTCCAGTACTGTACTGTAGGGACAAAGTCATTCTTGTCAATCCCATCTTCTGTTGTCGATACCTTAGGAGAGAGTTAGGTAAAGTAGCTCTCATCTCTGTCTACACCCACTGACCAAAGAGAAGTGATACACAGTAACATGTCATCCTGTGTCACCCTACTGGCGTGTCCAAGACCTAAGCAACGTCCTTACTGTTGACAATTAGAAAATAAATTAATGTAGATAAATTCTCTCGTATTATCTCCCAGTAAACCCAACTGCCATAAATGCAGGCTTCTGCGGAGATTAATATTTCTTCTTGGCCTGCTCTTTAAAATTTTAAACATACTGTAGTAATTATAACATTTTACAACAGAGGAGTGAAAACAGCATGTTGTAATCGCAAATTACCTTTCCACTATCTTGAACAAATACTGTGCTTCTATTTCTGCTTTTCAGCTCAGTTCTGACACAGGCAGGGAATGGTCTATGTCCTATCAAAACAACATTGAGTTTGCCCAGCTACTTGGAGAGTTTGCCCAGAGGAAAAATTTGTGTTTTGCAATTGTTTGAGCTCCAGCTACATGCCTCCATTCAATATGTGGTCTACAAAACTCTTACAGAACTGGGACCAGACCAGCATAGAGTGACAGCATAAATTCAGCTTAATGCTCTCATGCAATTTAGGCCTCTTTTTCAACGTTGTACCTGATAGAGCAGTTCTCCAAGACCAGTTCAGATGTTTAGATTAAGTAATGACTACTTAGCCTGGCTGTGGGTGATGAACGGAAGGGCTCTGTTTGCAATGAAATATTCTTGCATTACTAATACTTTAGAGTGGCAGATACATGCTTTAGAGTACATGCTTTAGAGAAGCAGATATTTAGGGTGTTGAAGGAGTTGTCTTGATTGATTTCATCTACTGATTTGGGTGGATCTCTCATACTTATGCACTTTAACAACAGCGTTAGCGCTTAATTTGAGAGTCTCTCTTATAATACACAGCTCCATCAGATTTGAAACTATTTAGATGTCTTTACATTTTCCTGGGGGTTGAATCATCATCATGTCTTTTTGTTGTCATGGTTTTGTGATTTTTGATATCAGTATTTCACATCATAACGTAATGTAGAGCTCTGGAAATTAGAGTTAATGCTCCAGTTCTGTGAACTGCTGATTTTCTGTGTACTTGCTTCTCAGAAGAGAAGAACTGCATACCCCAGAGGGCTTTTCATTTCCATTCAGAGGGTAAGATACAACTGCTGACAAGTCACAAGATGTCCCTTTTTTCCCTTTTTGCTTGTCTCTGCAGCATGTGCTCCATAGCAGTCTCACCTTCATAATTAGAATAAGGCTTTGGTTTTTGAATGCACTCTCTCTCATTTTATTTGATTTAATAGCTTCAATTCCAATTATATTGTATTATATAGTGTTATCATTGTCACGGTTTTGTTTTTAGTCCCATCTCTCTACTATTTTCCCCTTTCCCAGTGTTTGTGGGTTCCCCCCCCCATTGGTCACGGAACTGGGTCAAACCAGCCTGTAAACCATTGACACTTGTTTTCAATTTTTTTCCTTCTTTCTTTCTTATATTTAATATTCTGTCTATCCACATCTTCTGAGAGTTTAATATCCTGCTTTGATGTGGTGTTCTTGTGTGCTCAGACTGCTTTTCCCAGAAGTTTGTCCTAAAGGCTTGTTCACTGCTTGCACCTCTCTGCTGGTATAGAATCTTTGAATAAAGATTGGAAAAGATGTCTAAGATCATCTAGTTTACCTGTCAACCCATCAGTGGGTATATGAACCCCTGACTGTAGGTTCAGTATTCCTAGCTTACTGGCTGAGTTTTTAAGTTGTTTTTTCTTTCCACTAAAACACTCATTCACTAGGCTGGTGGTGTTGATCTTATGCTCACTTTTTACTGTTGCAGAGTGATCCTGTAGATTTTTGAAGTAAAGAATGGCTAAGATCTACGTGTTAGCTCTTCCCTATAATCCACTGTTAACACCATCAGCCATTTGTAAAAACTTCTGAAAACTCTAGTAAATAAAGTAGAGTTCTGTTTGAGATTTTCAGAGGATAGTCTGGTTCTTTGCTGGATGCTCATTGCTCATTAAAATGCAGTATACGGCCTAAATACTGTAAAACTTTTCACAACCTAACAGAGCTCAAGTCTCTGGGCACAAATTTCTAGTTACTCTTCCAGTTATGCAGATCTTCAATCTTTTTTTACGGTTCAAGATCCGTAGTCCCGTTCTGCAAGCAGTAGAAGCAGCTGTAGATCCACCAATAAAACAGTGAATGGCTCAGCTTTGGGAATGTTTTGGGTTCATCTCTTCAGAGACATACAGTATGTCAGAGCAAACAAAAACCTACAAGCTTTGCAAGTTTTCCAGAACAAGCCAGTCATAATTTAGAAATGAGAAAAGGTAAAAAGAAGATGATTTTTTTTCCCCTGGTTTTAATTCTTAAATCTTGACCATTACAAGGATTTACACACTATTCACATGTATTTGTTTTTCTTTGAAGTATTACAAATGTTTAGTCTATTAGTGGTGTTGTAAAATAACTTGGAACTGTTTCAGCATCTTGTTTCAAATATGGTTACTTTCTGTTTTCGAGTTGTCTTAGGATTGATAAATGAGACAAATATTGTTATTTGAAAGAAAATAATTACAAATGCTATCTCATTAAAAACAAGTCTATGCTTTGCATGTGTGCATATGTCTGTATATCTATGTATATCTGTATGTATTTACATAAACAAAGGTTCTGCAGCAAGTACCAAATAGTGCAAGTTAGCACTCAGCATTAGATAATTGGAATTTTCTTGATATATCAAGCTCTTGTTTGTTGTTGTAAGTGACATACTATGAATAACTTACTTCCTCTCTGTACCTATAATATGCAGTGTCTGCTATAGCTTTGATGGTCAGTAGTCATCTCAAAAGTTTTTTAGAGCTAATGATTCACCAGAGATTTCTGAGAGATTTTGCCATCATTGTAAAGCTTGAAGAGGTTTGCTATTGCAGCCGTATGGCAGTTCTTGGTTCTCTGAAGAAAAGAGAATCCTTTTGATAAACAGATCAAAGCATTCTGTTCTTTCAGTGAATGATACCTATAAGTAACGTAGAACTAATTTCACGCTGCCTGCCTCATTTGCTCAAGTCTTGCATTCTGCTTACAATACGATATTAGTCATGCATTATATTTTAAATATAGTTAAATTATTATTTAAATAGGTCTGTTCTTGTGTAATTAGGCAATCCCACAAATACCTAATTTACCAAATGTGCTATCATGATTAGTAAAATCAGTGCATTAATCTGGTTGCTCATTGTACAAGCCATGTAGGTAAGGAGACTCTCAAAGACTTTTTTTTTTGCTATACCACAAGCCTAAAATTTAGACTTTTGGACTGTAGGTGATGAACAACTGTAGACTAAAAATATATACCATAGTATTTTTAGAAATAGTTGCATTTGCTCTGGAAATTCAGATGTGGGGTATGCAGATGTTTGCAGTGAGGGGCAAATATAGTGAGAAACTTAGAACAGAAAGTGTATGCTGCAGCATTGCCCTGAAAGGAAACAGATCTCAGTCTGGGCTGTATGTACACCTTTGAGGCTTGTCTGATAGCAGGATGTTCTTTCTATTCCATCAGGCATTCCAGATGTGCAGTTGCCATGACTGCACATGCCTAGTCTCAGAGAATGAGTTTATTGCACCACAGATGTGATGCAAGGAGCCAAAAAAGAGAGCAGAAGGTTTTATCTTGCAAGATCTTCCATTAAAGGAAGTATGAATGAGATTTGGTGCTGTGTCTCAGCAGAAAAGGGAAAATTTAGGGTTATGACACACCATACTTCTACATATGGCATGAGGCATTATTCTCTCTGTAGAGGTGATACAGCTTACAGCGGAATAAGGAGATGTGTATGTGACCCTTTGGGATGGAGCCTGCATTATCCTAGAAGAGTCTTGTAAGAGTAATAGTCTTATAATCATTGAACAATTAAAAATATTGGCTGAATGACAGGTGCGAATGAGCATGAGGTAATTACCACAAATTCTTCAAACTTTACTGTTCCTTTTTTTTTTTTTTCTTTTGGGAATTTGGTGAAGGAATAGCTTATTTTTTCCCATTTTCAAGGGGTATAGATGGAAGAAAGTTCAGAGTGCTTGATGCTTGCTGTTATAGTTTAAGGCTTTCTGTTAGCTACCTGAAGTATGTCTGGCACTCTGATTTCTCATTAAGTTCACTGATAAATATTAATTTGCAATTCCATACTTTGTAGTCTGCCAGAAACTTCTGCACATTGCTTGTTGTGTCTCTGACTCAGATGCATATGTATACTTGATTCTTTACTTCCTTGTCTCTTGACAGCTACAATCGAACCTTTTTATTTCTTTTTAATTTGTCTTTCTTTTTTTCAGTGTGGGAACTTTGCTGTTTTGGTGGATGTTCATATTTTGCCTGAAGGCTCCAATAAAGACACCAGCTGGTTTTCAGATCAGGAGAAGGAGGTACAAAAAATAACAGTTCTACTTCAAAAGCCTGTGGTCAAAGGGAAATGTTGGATAGCCTTGAACTGTTCTGTATTTTTTAGTGTTACGATGAGAGCATTGTTGGTTGTGCCTAACTGAATGGTTGCTGTGGGGCCCCTAAGTGAACTGCACATGCTTTTGGGGTCACTAATGGCCACTTTCTATTTCCCTTTTAATTTTTAAGCTCTGCATGTGTATGCATGTGGTTTTGATTCTTCTGACTTCGGTTTTAAAAGCATCTTTCTGACGGTATCTTTGTCTTTTGTAAATTGTCCTGAGTTATGAATAATGGATTGTGACAGGTATCACTTTTATAGAGCTTGTTGGTGAAAAGCCTGTTAACTGCTTTATCACATTTAGGAAAGTCTGAATGGTATTTTATTTAGAGAGTGAGTGTAAGAAAATATAATGTACATGCATAATAGGCAAGGTAATATATATAACAGAACTACTGTATCTCATTAAGGGAGATTATTAAACTTGATTTTTGGATGTATCATTTGAATATCCTGACAGCAGATGAAATCTTGGAAATACAGAGCCTCAGCGACCAATAAAATTATGAATGTAACTTTCATCAGATTCTGTGATTTCTGTAAGAATCTCATGATGAGTTACTGGCTGGAGTTTTCCCCTATTTCAGTCTGCATGGGAACTTGAGAAGTTCCCTGCTGAAAATGAATGCAAGACATGTTTGAGATGCCTGTGGACTTTCCCGCAAGTCTCTGTTACGGTAATTTTCAGCAGATAGCTTTCCTAATAATGGCATAATTAACTTGTCACTGCAGAGCATCCCTGTATGGTCACAGCAGTGTGTTTAAAGAAAAAGGAGAGAGAAAAAAAAAACTGGCAAATTAGTGCTCAGAGGGAGTGAAGGCAGAATATTTATCAGGTTCACCCGATTTGTGCTTTAAGAATCAGACAAAGGAGAAAATATGGGAAGTCTTTTAGATTACTTTTTTCCTCAAGTAAATGAATACTCCTTAACACTTCTATTTATAATTGGCACTACCTTGGTTATAATTTTTAAGTGCTTTCAAAATGTATTCTGTATCATTGCCAAAACAAAAGATGTGAATTTCAGGAAATTAGATCATGAGTGATTTAATAAAGAGGCATGACGGGGCAGCATTCAGTGCGTTGCTGTGTGACCGTGTATTTTGAGAGAAGTACAAAGGGTGCATATTTTCAACAACCAAGAAGCATGATTCCAATAGCTTTACAGTCTGCTTCCTGAAAGCCCTACACAGAGGCTTTGTTGTACCGGGGAGAAAAGGTCAAATTATGCCTATGTGTTTTTTTTATGGTTTTTTTTATGGTTTTTGTTTTGTTTTGTTTTAATTTTCACTGCAACAAGTTTTTCACATCTCCAGAATTCATCACCTTAAGAGTGGTACAACCTTTGTTTGTTTTTTTTGTCTATCTGAGGAACTGTGGGGAAAAGCAGATGCCTTTCAGGTGCCCTGTAACACAAGCATGGTTTGTGCTGATCCTCCCTTCCCCTGGAAGAAGTCGTAGCTGCTGTCTGTGGGTTGCAGAACCCTGCAGAAGGATAACTTGGGGGCATGGCTCGGTACTGCTGCAGAGAGGGAATGGCATGCTCTGCTGGTGATGCGATTCAGGGCAGAGAAGACTGCAGGCTGTGTGAGGCAGGCTGGGAGCTGCATACAAACCCATTAGTGTGGGGATAGTGTTAGAAAAGGCCGTGCAAGTTGTCTGGCTGGGCGCTTTACTGAGCACAGTCCCTGCATGCTGCTGCGTGGTGTATAAGGGTCATTTCAGACCGACATATGCAAATCACTAACTTGATGCTTTTCAGGAACTTTTCTCTTTCTGTCCTACTGTTTCTAGTTTTCCTGCCCTTTGTGTCCTCTTTCTTTTCCCCTAGAATAACAAACTCAAAGTTTTAGCCTTGTACTTGACAAAAGAACTATTTCTTTTTTAGACTGATTTCTCCTCACGTCCTTGCTGTAATCTCTCCACTTTGCATACAGAAAGGTCTGAGTTATCAGTTCTGTTCAGTGGAGGTCTAGAAGAGAAGATTATCTTGAAAATTGATCATTTATACTTTCTTAAATGTAGACCTGTATAGTTTTTTGTGGAGAACCAATACAATAAAATTTCCCTAAGCATAACAACGGAATTAAATATTTTCCATGTAAATTAAGGAAATGTGTGCTTATCTTTTTGTTGTGGAAGGAACCACATACAAACTCCTTCCTCTGCTTTCTAGACTTTTCATTCTAACCTGAATGCACAGTCCTGTTGAAGGAATGTGTAAGGAGATCACTTTAACGAGTTAAACAGAGGAATAGGCAGATACTGTATTTTACAACTATACTTTTCAAGCAGAAAGGAAAGTGTATTTCTAGCTGTAAGGAGAAAATACTATTTGAGGTTGACCTATATATGTGTATTGCTCTCACTAAGAGCAACATGTTAAAAATGTTCTTCTGCATACTTGGTAGATAAATCCAAAGTAAATTTTGAGCCAAGATATTTTATGTTTGGTGGTACTAATATAATTTTGTCTGATGTCCAAACACTATAAAAAAGGTAAAATGACATATTTGTATGCAGCAGTGTCATTTCTATGAGCACAAAGTTAGACATAATAGAAAATAAAAATTCTGAAGTAAGAGGCACAAACGTGTGTGCGCCTTAATCTGAAAGCTTGATCTAATATTTGAGATAAATATTTTGCTTTTATATCAAGGTATTTCTTTTTCATAATTTGCATGCAAAATAATTTAATTTTCTTTTGAAAACAATGGTCTTTAATGTCATAATGTATTTTTATTACTAAAAACTTCAGCGATTTTCTATAAATAAATTGCACTATGCATTGTGTCCTATCTGAATCATAGTATTTACTCTCTTATTCTTCCAAACTGCAGAAGAAATTATTAAAATGTTTTTTAAAAAAAGAAGGTTTAGAAAAGCTGTTAGGATTTCTTTTCCTTGTTCTAATGTATTTCTTAAGTATTGTGCTTCTCACCGCTGTGTAACACCACAGTACCTGATTGCAGACAGTATTTTTTTTATTCTCACCTGTGTGTAATCAGTACCTGATTGCAGTACCAGATTAACGTTGGAGAGATTTTGTACCTTCATGCACTTGTTGTGCATGCAGTGCTTAGGAAATGTTGACATTTCAGGAGGTCTGCATGTACCTAGAAGAGGTGGTTGTTTCACGGATCCAACGCTACTTGGAAGCGCCTAAACAGCGTGGTCAGTGGAAGTCAGTGGAACATGCATCATCAACTCCTCTGTTCATTACAGGTAAAATCAGTAATTTAATCTATAAAACAATAAAACAAGGTAAAATATGGTGGAAACTGCTGTTCTTTACTTTTTCATGAGAAACTTCCCATCACAAAATCTAGTAAAGCTAAAATATCTGGAGTTTTGGGGTTTGAAATTACTTTGGCTACATTTTTGAAAAAAACAGGGATGGGTTTTAATTCTTTGTACATTGTTGAAAAATTGACATCTCACTTGTGCTATTAAATTAACATGAGAAACTATAATTGAGCAGAATAAAAGAATCCATGTTCCTCTAAAAACGATGGAAAACTGTCTTTTTTCTGAAGTCAGGTACATTTGTACATTTTTGTACATTTTTTATTCTAGAAATATTTTTTTCTTCCTCTTGCCATTTATTCATTCTTTAAAAACTGCTGTGTTGTGATAAGTGGCATCTGTTGTTTCACCTGTGTTACTACAGATTTGTAATGCTAATGAAAGGTAATGAAGTCAGTGACCTTGGAGGGCTTTGATGGGATAATTACTGTGCAGAAAAGAATAGTTGCTAGAGCATTTACCCAACTGGAACAACTGTGTTGGATTTTTATGTGTGTGAGGGTAGTGAAATCACTAGATGCAATTCCAGTATACTTTTCTTTAAAATAAAAAATAATGATTACTGTAGCTTTTCTTCAAATGTTAGGACCTAATGGCTTGCCAGTTTTTCTTTAATGTTATTTCATTACCTGTTCTAGTTAGGTGGGTTTTAAGAAGTTAATAGGCTTATTTGTTTGTCCTACATTTGAAAATAAAGCTATTTTAAAATTGTTCTGAGGAAATTAATAGTTTTAGTTTATTACCAGCCTGGAGGATGTTATAAACTTGTTACTATGCTTTTCTACTTCTGATTGAACAATTAGAATTTTCTTACGCTGAAAGCAGAGGACCACTGCAAAGGGTGAGATGGGAAATTCTGAGATTTGTTGAGATTTTTCTGTATTTTCATTTACTGAGTGATATTTTTCACTGATTATTTTCTTAAATTTCTTGCCTCAGTCAAAGTATGTTTTCAAAACCAATGATTTTGTAAGGTAAAGCTATCAGACAAGTTGATTGTTTTTGCATATGCAGACAGATACAGTAGTTCGAGGGAGTTCTTGAGATTTTAATGTCCTGTATGTTCTTTCGTATTGCAGACTTTTCAGTCAGAATACTGGTATGCTGTTCAACAGCTGTGAACTGATCTGCTTGACTCTTCCCCTTGTTTTGTGAAAATGAAGGACTTCAGGTCATCAGTAATATCTTTGATAGTTTTAGATGAAAGAGTATTTAGTTTGGATGAGACAGAATTTCCGTTTCATGAGTTTTCTGCATTTAATCTTGACATCAATAATTAACACTAAAAAAAAAAAAGTATGCAATAAGGAACATTCATGTTGAACTTAATTTCCAAATCTCTCTTCTTCCCTCAGCCCACTTTGCTCAGGGCTGTAATTTGTAAGAAAGGAGTGCTTTGTTCAAGAATCAAGTTTATTCAAGTTACATTCAAGTCTATTCTTACCTGAGAAGGAAATAGCAGATATAGTAGGTGGGTGTTCACCGGAGCAGCTGGGACCTACCTCTGAGAGACTGACCCTTCTAGGTGAGCCACAAGGCTAGAACTCTTTCTCATGTGTTTCACCTTCCTTTCTTTGGTCACAGTTCTGGTGGAGTGTTTTGAAGAACAAGGATCTGTAATATTCTCAAACAGATGAAGCGCAAGATAGCTGGATAGCTGGCCAGTGCTAGCCTGACAGTATTTTGAAGTATACAGAGAAATGTGCAAGCTTCGTCTGTGGCTAACTACGTTGGTATTCTTTAGCTACTGCTGGTAAAATATTTAAGCTTGCAGTTACTGTTGCATTTGGAGGCTATTAGAAGTTTTTGAGTTCTTCAAACTGGATGTGGTTTCTTTTTCTCAAAGTTATGCAAGTCTGTGTCTGGAGTTTTGCTGCAGTAAAATCACCAGTATTGCAGGTCAGAGTGTGTTTGTGAAGAACAAGAAGATGTTTATTAATTGGTTGTTTGCTCAGCACTCCACTCTTGTTTGGACTTGCATCTTTTGGGGTTAATTTCTGTTAGTTTGTATTCAAAAATTATTGGAATCAGAATTATTAGTTCCGGTTAGTAAGCTTTTAGATGACCTTTAATATCTAAGTGGCTGTATGGGAATTTTCATCAGAAATAGAAACCAAGTTACTTTACTTTGGTTAGCAGATCCGGTTCTGCTTTCTAGATCTATAGAGCAGACTGGCTACCATTACTATTTTGAAGGGAATTTCTTCAGCTGTCTTTTAAATATTGACATACTATTATGTTTAGTGTTGGTATTAGTTATTGCCGCCTTTCAATTTAGTGGCACAAAATGTAAACGTCCATTTGTGTAACTTGTAAATCTATGTTTCTTTTTCAAGTTACACCCACACAGCAGTATGTGGTGGGTCGCATACCATCTCATTAGGAAATCTGTGGGTGTTACACATAGGAGAAAAAAGAAAGAAAGAATGGAAAAATGAGAGAAAGTAGCCAAGACAAGCAAGTTCTTCCTATTCTTCCTTCTGTCTGAACAATTTCCCCGCCCCTCCCAAATGGCCAGTAAGAACAATATGCCAAAGTAAGCTTTAATTTATTCTTTGGACATAGGCTTTGGTATAAACTTTCCATTTCCTGAGTTTAATTAATGTCTGAAAGTGTTTAATTTTGCTTTGTTTTATCTTTTTTACAGAAATGTAAAATGAGGTAGATTTTAAAAGATTTGATTTTGCCTGTATCCAACCTGCATGGCCAAAATCATGTAGGAAGGGCATTAACAATATATGGTTTGCTTGCATTACTTCAAGTTCAGTGAATTTAAGCCAACCAACAATAATAATTGTAATAATAACAATAAACATGTATTAGCAAATTTAACTCATTCAAAAAAACCAAACTGTACTTAGCAGTTTCATGTTGTATTAGCTTTAAAGTTAGAACTATTCTTTGTGTGTATATATATATAAAATATATACAAATATGTTTTCAGTTTGCACCACTTGTGCTGCTCAGTAACATATAGCTGTTTTTATTGATGATATTGAGCATCTTTAGTCTTAGTGTCACAGTATTCATCCAGATACAGAAAGGCTGTAGGCTTAAATAGGCTAAAAGCAAAGCTTGGCTTTTCACCTTCTCCGAAAGTGACTGTTTCTGATGAAGAGTAATAAAAATTAAGTGAATAGAGGCTATAAAGAGGATCATATAGAGATGCTGTATACAGGAGCTTGACAAAGAGAGGACTGCGGAAAATTAAGGAAGAAGCCAAAGTTCACATGGATGTAGAGGAAAGAAAAAGGAGAACGTGTAAAGAAAATGTGGCCACCTTAGAAATGGAAGGAAAGAGGAAAGGAAGAAGGTATCTTGTAAACAGACCTCCTCCTCCTTCCCTCTCTTGAATGTGGAGAAAGTTCAATATGTTTGTATCCAAATCATTTTCAGATCTTTTTCATTCCTTCCCTAGCATCCTTGTTATTTGTCTTGGCTTGATGGTGGAACGTTTTTGCTCTGATTTCAGATCTTTGTATTGTACTGTGTTTCCTACTGTGGAAATAATTAATCACATGGCACAGATAGTTCACAGCCTGATTTTATCTGCATTATCTGGAATAGAGTATTTTTTAAAAATATTTTGAAGCTTGTTTTCTTAGAACAGTTGAGCTAATTGTGATCATATTTTCTGTCTGTTTCTGTTTGCCTGTCCATCTTTTCCCCTTGATTGCTTTTCTTAAATTGGCTGAACTTTATGACAGGTAGAAATTTCAGGGGATATGTTTGCCAGGAATTGACTTCAGATAAGCTTACTGAAATGAGGAAGAGGAAGAAGTGCAAGTCCTTTGAGTAGTTTGGCCTTACAAAGACCCAGTGTCAAAGTTCACATCTTATTGAATATTAAAAAAAAAAAAACAAAAAACCAACAACTGAGATTCTATTTCAGAAGAAAATACATTTCATTTGTTCTGTTTCTCATGAAACTTTTTTTTTTTTCTCATATAAACACAAAAAATATTCTGTGTTCACTATTTCTGTAGTAATTGAAATGTGTGAAGTATGCATAGGCTAAGTTCTCTGTTAGAATTCTGTGGCAGCAGAAGTGATTTAAAATATTCCCACTTGTCTAGCTTTAAACTCTTATTTCTCTGTGGTGAAATAGCATTAAGTTTGTTTTTAACAAGAATTGTTTCATCTGTCTTTCTTAAAGAGCAACTCCACAAATCATTTCTGATCTCCTTTTATTCTTTTTCCCCCAGTCTGAGAACAAGTGGGCATCCAATGAAGTTATTGGAAGTCTAATTGGTTAGCAGAGCTGTGGAATTCTTTGCCAATGAGGGTGATACATGTGTTCACAGATTTGGGCAAAAACGTGAGAGAAGAACCCAGGAAGGATATGGAATTCATGGAAATCTCTTTGTGCTCACTGAAGGTCTGAGCTGAGAAGGCTAGGAGAGAACTGGGGAGAAATAATTGCATAAAGTTTTATCTTCCATTCTGTCCTTTTCTAGTCACATTAAATGCCAGACACTAAGCTATACAAACCTTTGATCTTATCCAGTATGGCCTTTCTTACCATCATAAGGAAAAGGCCTGCACCGTAAACTTTACTATGCCAGGGAGAGGTTGGTGTATTTCAAAGATTGTCAGAGGAAATTCTAGGCTTTCTAGATTGAAGGTTCTGCATTTGTCTTTTTCCTGATTTTAAAATGTTACTCACAGGATTTAGCAATTGCTATCTTTGTCTTGGGACATTTGCAGGTGTAGCACCAGATCTGTTGAATGCTTTCTCATTTTAGTTCTGCCCAAGGTGCATCCCTCAGGTGAAGTTATTTATAATCCTGGGTAGGATATGAAATACTATTGTATTTATTTTAGAGATACCCTATAATGAAATGTTTTATATAGATACTGTTGAAAAGAAATATATCGTTTGCTTAAAATAATAGGAAAGTTGTGTAATTTGCTGTATG